TCTCTTTTGGTTTTGGGGCTTTTTTTCTGATATATCCTTTCAAAGGAGAGAGTGGGAATTAGTGGAGATGAGGGCAGAAAACCCTAATCTTCGGAAGATCGAAGACGAAAAAGGGGAGTCGCGAAGATCGAGCGCAGCAGAACAAAGGGGCAGAAAACCCTAATCTTTCCTGTCGATTGTCTTCCAACTTTACTCTTTCGCCCGCATTTTCTCTTCATTCTCTTTTTCAAAATTCATTTGACGAGGCTAAGGCCTAAAGTGTGATCGAGCAATAAGATCCGGCCCACCAAAAGCCCAACTAAATAACAAGACTGACTGCGCGTCCGGAACTGAACCGTTGTCTTCCTCTCATCCTTACTTCCTCGACCGAATGCAACTCTCTTATCCTTTTGTTTATCCCTTTCTGTCTCTCAATGCATAACATGTTCTTCTCCAAGGTCTCTGTGTGACTGACTCCTTACAATCATTCATCAACTACAGTGAAAATCAAGGAAGCTTCAGAACAATATGTACCGAGATTAAGTGTCGTGTCTGCGATTTAATGAGAGTATTCGGAGAGGGATGTCGATGTCGTGCCTGCTGCCACAGTTCAAGTGCTCGCCAGACACTTTTGCTGTTAACTTCAAGTTGCAGAGCCATTCTTCTGCGCACTTCTGTAAGTCATTGCTTTTGAACTGCAGCCGTTTCTGCTCATTGTCGTTGTCATTTAGTGATGGCGCGTTTTGTAATCATTCTGGAAAGTTACATGATTCATGAAGGATTTTAGCATATATGGGAAATTCTTTCCTGAAAATCTAGGTTTAAGCTTTTGGTTTCTTATTATTCTTGCGAGTGGAATTGTAGCGTCTAGCGTCTATAGTTGTTGAGAGCGTCATGCCGATTGGGTCAGACCATTACCCTATGTTACCCGGACTCTTCTATTTAGGAAGAATACCCGTGTCATGTTGTGTCGACATTGGTGTGGGTATGAGTGTCGGGTGTCGCATTTTTAGCCTAAAATGTTCAAGATTTTTAAACTATTGATGAGTCGGACGATCATATCTCCACACCCGATACTCACCCATATCCGAGTCCAGGTAGCATAGCCATTACCATATAGATCTGGGCATTTCTCGCAAAAACATCGGATGGTTCTGGTTCTGGTTAGAGCTACGTTCATGTACTATAGAAATATGAAATCAGTGCTTTGTAACGGTGGTTGTAATTTTGATCGATCACTTAATGCAGCAAGAAAGAGAGATGCCGTCAATTTCCAGGCACAATGTATCTTATCTGTTGCATCAGCTCCAACACTGACTTCATCAACTACACTGCTAGAGCTTGAGGAGCTTCAGTTATCGCCATTTGAAGCTATTCCGAATTCTGTACCTGCTGATAGACCATGGGCAGCAGAAACTTCAGCATCAAAAGATGTGATACTTGACTTGGAGAAGTTGTCTTCTTTAGATACTCATCGAATTAATATTGCTGCAAACAACCCATTACCATTTACTGGATCAATTGGACCACTTTCTGAGGTAGTGTTTCTATATATTAGGCTATGAAACAACAGTTGTATGTTTTAGATAGGAGCAAAAAAAGTTCATTCCACGTGGAAGCGCTTTCTGAGCCTCTATGTTTGTGTTCAGTTAAGAGAAATTGGTAATAAGAAATGGATGTGGATGATCTTCATGGTTATTGCTCTAAAATATTTGAAACTTGTGTTTGGATCTAATGAGAAAATGCTTTCTAGTTTGCCCTTCGCTCTCTTTATCACATTCAGGTCATAGGTTAGAAGTCATATTCAATATCTTCTTCTTTCACCAATTATTCTTCATCCTTGATCTTGAGCACCGTATTTTGCTTAAGATTTTGTTGCTGTATATGTCAGATGAAGAAAAACCAGTGACTTCAATCCTCTTTCTAATTATGAAAAATATCTCAATAAAACTGGCTGGCCATCACTGTTAACAGAAAATGTATATGCAGGTAAGTCTTGGAGCAAATTTTAATCGGGAGACTATTCTTACAAGTGAAGAGGCCATCATCAATGCTGCTGCATCCGAAGCCCTTGCTTTAGCTAAGGCTGCTCTAAGGGTAGCAAAAGATGCAGCAATGATGGTCGGACACCGTAAATCAATAAAGTCTGATAGTGCCAAATTAGAAACTTTACCTGAAGTAGTTACAACAATGATTGGCAATAATCATTTCTCAGAAAGAGTAAATTTCGGAGAATCCAAAGTTACCGAAATAGGGTTAGGGGAAAATTATTCGGCCTCTCAACCTATTGAAGGATCTGATTATGTGGACCCTAGTGCAGAGGAACTTGAATTTCTTGAGGCACAACTCGCCAAGAGCATAGCTGTTAGGTCAACTCGCCAAAAAGAGAGAAAGGCCAGAAGAAGTCGGGTGGACAGTAAGTCGGCCGCCAACACTGTGCCCATGAAATCTGGTTCGTTGAGCCGGAAGAAGCGCTCTTCTGTGCAGGAAGTGAATTATTCAGATCCCCTGCGTTACTTGAGAGGGATCGCGAGCAATTCTAAGCTGCTTACTGCTTCTGAAGAGCAGGTGTTGTCAGAAGGCATTCAGGTGACTTTAGAGATGGCTAGATTGTGTTTTTACTTTTTGTCTATTCTTTAAATCTTTTGTTCGTTTCTTCTACTGATGAATCATATTATAGACTTTGTGGAACTTATTCTATTTTTTATAATCAGAGCTTGTTGATTTTGTTTTGTCATGTCTTGCGTGCATCTCTTGCTTATTCTGGCACCTGATATTTAGAAGGTGGATTTCCTGCAAAGAGCAGCTAAAGTTTTAGTTTCTCTGAACATTAAGAAACTTTGTCATATCATTGACGTTATGAAGCTTATTCTGTTTTTATGGTAAAAACTTGTTGATTTATTTATTCGTGTCTTCTGTACATCTCTTGCTTGGTCTGGTACCTGATATTTAGGAGGTGGATTTCCTGCAAATAGCAGCTAAAGTTTCCAGTGTGAATTAAGAATTTTCAGCAACTCAAAGTTGAAGCCTCTGGAAACCCAATATTTTATAATTAGTCATTTCAAAAGAAAGGACTTTCATGGACCTTTAGAGCTAAGTGAAGTTGAGGAGGAACATTGCATATTCCTCTTTGCTTGATATGGGTTTAGTCATTTACATTTATTCAGAATACCTTTCATTTGGTTTGTCAATACAATTCAAGAACAACCTTATTCAGTTCTATGTACATATTTTTCAAATTTCTTGAAAGAACTATTAAGTTATCAGAGGTGGATTGAACTCACAAATTACTGAAGTTTCTTTACAGTTTTCAGTTCCTGTATCTGTGGCTATGCAATTACTTTGAGCCCCTGTTTGGCTGATTTGTGCCTTTTCGGTTCCTTAATATATATTCACTATGCATGCAGGTTCTACTAAATTTGGAAAGACTTCGTGAGGAGTTCTCACAGCGTTGTGGTGGTGAGCCTACTTTTACCCAATGGGCTGCTGCTGCTGGTGTTGATCAGAAAACTTTGAGGCAGCAAATAAAGTACGGTGTACATTGTAAGGATAAAATGGTAAAGAGCAACATACGTCTAGTTATTTCCATTGCAAAACATTATCAGCGAGTTGGATTGAGTCTTCAAGATTTGGTTCAGGTATGCATCATTGTCAAATTTGAAATAATTAGTACAAAATCTACCCCCTTAGCATAATACAAAAAAGAACGAAGAAGAAAAAAGTAAAGCAGTTCTCTTTCAGAATTACATATGACATTTTGATGTTTGCTTCTACTATGCAATTCTCAACCCTCAAGTGGGAGGTACTTGCAATTTTGATATATCATTGGGTCCAATATCTTATTACTTGTGCTTTTCAATTTCTGCCCCCAGGAAGGATGTCGAGGCCTTGTCAGAGGTGCAGAGAAATTTGATGCGTCAAAAGGTTTCAAATTCTCTACCTATGCTCACTGGTGGATAAGGCAAGCGATACGGAAATCCCTCTCTGATCAGTCAAGGACAAATAGACTACCCGTAAGATCCTACATATTTTTTCTGCCATTACTTTAGCAAGTGTAAATGACAGCATACGGTATTTCTCAAATTTGGAAAGAGCACATTCTCAGAACTTAACTTTGCTCCTCATGCTTGGCACAACAGCACCACATAGTCGAGGCAAGTTATAAAGTGAGAGAAGCAAGAAAGAAACTGTACAGCGAAAAAGGTAGACTACCAGATGACGAAGAAGTTGCTGAGGCCACGGGGCTTTCCGTGAAACGGGTTTCTGCCGTCA